TCCTGTTGTCCCTGAAGACATTTCGTACCAGGCTTATCAAGAACCCAGCACCTGATCATCAATGGTTCTGAGTTTGCGGGATTCTTGTCCTGTTTCCCCATCACCCTCCGAGCTGTCACTGTCCTTAAGGGTGGAATGTTTCACTGCGTGGCACCACCAGGAGCGTGCAGCTAGGAACAGCTCCCATCTGTCGCGGCCTTATCATCTGAGTGCCCTTTTGACCCATTTTCAAGTTGTTTCCGTTTTTAACTGTTTGTTTGTTTGTTTGTTTGTTTGTTTGTTTGTTTTGGGTTGTTTTCTGTGTATGAAACCCAGAACAGGAACTGGATTCATGCTTAGCTAGGGTCCTGACAGAGAAGGTCGGGGAGACAGGCCTGGGGAGCTAACCAAGAGTGCAAGAGAGAATTGATTGTGGTGATGATTACACAACTTTTCTGAATGAGCTTGAATTATTCAATCGTGTGATCTGGAAGCTGTACAGCAATCACATTTTTTTTTTTAACAAAGACAAGAAAAGGCCAGTGTGGAGACCAGAGCTGACTAGTGGCTACCAGAGGCCGGAGGGAAGGGGCCTGGGCGATGAATGCTGATGGAACTATTTCAATGGTTAAGGGGAAATTTGCTTAGCTGATTACCGGTATATTTGCAGTCCGGAAGCTGTGCGCCTATAAAAAGTCAAATTGGCAGAGTTGTGTGATAGATACATGGACAAGAAAGACCCAAAAAGGGAGAGAGAGCAGCTGCTTATATACGAGCGAACTTTGTTTCTTGGTTTGGAGATTTAAGGTCCTGGGTTCAAGAAACGTCCAAGTTAATAATGTGTTAAGTGGCCACTTGACTGGCTCCTCTAGAGTGGAATGTCTACCCAGGTCCTTTGCCTAGTTTATGATTTGGGGGGGCAGGAGGCTAAAAATGCACTTCTACTCTGTCTCCTCGTTTGTTGCAATGGGCCTGGAGGCTTGCAAGTGTGTCAGCAACCATCCCAGGCACACAACTGGGTGTCTATTTGTCCGGAAAACAGAGGAAGGTGAGTCAGGACGAAGAGGCGATGTGGACTGTGTGGTCGGCAGCCTCCAGGAGCAACTGCTTCCTTTGCCTTGAGCCCAGAAGAGACCGATGGAGCCCAGCTACTCTGACTTGAACACTGTGGTCCAAGATTTCATAGAAGAGTCCTGTTCAAAAGGAGGAAGGCATCCACGAACTCCAGACATTCTGAAGCCACGACGTCTGGGTGAACTTCCCCCCGAAAACGATTGTCCCCAGTTCATCTTTAAAACTGAAACCGAAAGAATTACCCAGAAACCATCTTGAAAATGAACGGCCGTTGAGCTTCCCCCATGAAAGAAACGTCTTCCGTGAACCTTCTGCTCTTTTAAGAACTGTGTCTGTGGGATCCAAAGACAACAACAATTCAGAGAACTGCCTCGGGGGCACAGGGAGCCTCCAGATCAGCAGGGTGAGGTGGGTGCCTGCCGCGACAGAACAGGGTCACCGTCACTCAACGTGGAAGACTGTTGAATTGGTGTGTGTTTTGCTGTGCCTGTCCACAACATTTTTTTAATTGTTGATGTTTAGAAGGCACAGATTCCTGAGTTTTTCCCCCTGGAGACTTGAGTTTCATGAGCGATGAGGCACTGTACTCCTGTCCAAGCATAGCCTTAGAGACCCACAGGGGCAGTTGTACTCTGTCCTGGGTCACTGTGAGTCAGAATCAACTCGGTGGTGGTGAGGACACATGGGCCTGGGGAGTCAGGGCTAGCAAAGCGCCTTTGCTGATGCCCGGTGGCTGGGGGAAGCCACGGTGCCTGCTCGTGCCCATCCCTCAAGGTGCCAGGCGGGAGGGGGAGAAAGCGGCATAAGCTGATAGTAACTCGTGGCCGCTGCTGTGGTTTTCGGAATCATTTCCTAGTTTACAGAGAGGAGATAGTGAATGCTCGCTGGAAGCAGGAGCTGAGGACAAGGACAAGGACAAGGACAAGGCCCCAGCCTCTTGCTCCCTTCCCCACCCCCACTATACTTCCCCCTCCAAAAGTACACTTCTCAGAGCTGTCATGTTGGATCTTTAAAATACAAGGGCCATATCCCTCCTCTCACCACTCCCCACCCCGATGAACCACAGAGGGACCTGTGAACGGTGCTGTCAGAAGACCCCTCAAAGCGAGAAGCATTCCTTTAGGCTTTGATGTCTCAACAGGATGCTTCCTTTGAAACCTGAAAGGCCACTCGCCTTGTTATGTCCTCTGACATCCCCGGAGAAGCGCTCTGAAATGAGACGTGTTAGTCCAGGTGGACTAGAGAAACAAATCCATAGACACTCATATGTGTATAATAAAGCACGTCATATACAAGAGCAGTTAAATATTGAGAAAACATCCCAGCCAAGTCCCTAAGTCTCATATTAGCCTATATGTCCAATACCAATCTATAAAGTTCTCTTCAGACTCACCAAACACATGTAATGATGCCGGATGCAGGAAGATCACGGGCCTGTGGGGGAGGGAGGCTGTGACAAGCTAGACTCCACCCCTTCACGCTGAATCCTCAAATTCACACCAGATTATGTAACTACCACATGAGCCGTGGCAGCCTGCCCAGGACAGAAGGCATAAATCTCGAACATAGACAGGTAGATGCCTCCCAGGTCAGGGCACCGAGCTCCTCCAGATCCTGGAGAAACCAGGCTGGGCAGCGCAGACCGCCAGTCCCAACGGCACAGTCCCGTCAGGCGGACTCCTCATCACCCCTGCAGGCCTCCCTGCAAAGGTCAAGAACCAAGGCATTTCCTCGTGCTGCCAGCAGACCAGGGGTCAGTCCTTTGAGAAGAGCATGGTCTGTCTTCCATCCCCTATAGTGAGCTGCAGTCCCTTCCAGAGACAGGTCAAGAAATGCTACTACCCTGTCCCAGAAGGAGCCATGGAAGAAACACTTGACAAAACCCCATGGTAAAGCAAGTTCAGCATGGGTTAAGGAGCTCAGGGTGCAAACTAAAACAGCCCTTAGAAGAACACGATGCAGGGGCAAGGCTGCCGAGCTCAGCTCTCAACGATGGAGTCTCTGATAGCATCACTGACGTACGGGCAGCAAGAGCCAGAACCAAGAAGTGGCACCTCCTAAAAAGGTAGAGCTTTGGTCCAGCAGGAGACTTTACCAAACACGTGAAAGGACAAGCTATCGACTGGGAGCATAGCTTCCGAAATCATATAGCCGACGGACGAGCGTCTAACAATCAAAATATATATGAAGCGTTGACAACTTAACAACAACAAAAGAATCATGGAATGGGCAAAGGACCTGAGTGGACATTTCAGCCAAATGGCCACCAAAGCCATGGACAGATGGTCAGCATCGTTAGTTGTCAGAAAGATGTTGATGGAAACCACAGGGAGATAGCGACTCACTCCCACGCGGATGGCTAAGACAAAAATAATGTACAAATAACAAGTGTCGGCGAGGAGGTGAGGAAATTAGAAACCTTAGCCATTGCTGGTAAAACTGCGGGATGGCACCACCATTGGGGAAACAGCAGGGCGGTGCCACAAAAACCCCAAATAGAAGTGCCGTGTGGCTCCTGTTAGGCACTGTCATGCTGGTTCTGTCTGGTAACAGCCCAATGGGCAGGAGAAACCACCACCAGCCCGACACCGCCCTCACCGTTGCTCTGGGGAAGCCCATTGTTGCAGCCACTCCATCAGCCCATCCTGAAGGGGCTCTGCCCTTCTCTCCCTGGCTCTCCGCTGCCCCAAGCTTGCCGTCCTTCTCCAGGGACTGGTCCCTGCTAAGGGCCTGTCCCGAGTACCGGAGACAGGTCTTGCTTCCAAGGAGCACGCGGCTGGGTTGCTTCGCACACAGGCTTGTTCCCTTTCCCGGCGGCTTGTGGTACTCGAGTATTGAATAGTCTGCACCCAGACCTTAGTTCAAGGGCATTGAAGTCAGTGTTCCATGAACAACAGAGACATTTCATTTTAAAAATAAATACCAGCTTATACACTGCACACTGTTCAGCTAGACGGTCATGGTGACGTTGCCCTATGGGCTGTGTCAACCAGTGCGGTCCACCCCACCCCACTGACACCACTGCTCTTAACCAGGTTCCAACCACCTACCTTTGGGCCACTAGTTGAGCATGCCATCCTTGGCGCCTCCCAAGGACCCTTGGAAGATCCTCACAATCCTCACAATGTTCGGCAGCCGTTTCCTAAATCACTGTTGCACTCCACGTGGAAACAGGGAACTATTCGCGTGAAATAAACTAGCAGCGAAACAATAATATCGGCGTGTGAGTGTGCACAGACAGCTGTACACAAAGACAAAGAGACAAAAGTCTGAGAAGAAATATACAACATAATTGGGTTTGGTTTTTTAATCCCCTGGTGGCAGGGTGGTGCAAGTGATCAGCTGCAAAGCCAGACGGCCGGTGGTTCAAACCCACCCACCACTCCTCGAGAGAAAGATGAGGCAGTCAGCTTCCACAAAGATTTACCATTGGGAAGCCCGACAGGGCAGCCCTGCTCTGCCCCGAGGGTCGGTGCTATGAATCAGCATTGACTCGCTGGCTGGGGGTTTAGACTCTTGGGCATTTTCTAAATGTTCTGTAGAGGTTTTCCTTACGATAAGAAACCCAGCTTCCCTGGCGCCTGTTCCACCAGCTGGCCTCAAGTAAGCTACTTGCTTCTGACGTGCCCCCAGATAGAAGCAGGCTGCAAGCGAGCAGCAGTCCCTCCACCAACCTGTGTGCTGCCGGAGAAGACCTTGGTCTTTCAGGTCCCTGCGTAGATCCCCTTGACTCTGGACCTGAAACGGTGTCCATGGTCTCATCCACTCACATTGTCCCTCCCGGAGGGTCAGCACCTTCCTGCCTACCTGGCCCCTCTCTCCCGCTATCCGGTGGCCAACTTGGCTGAGATCTTCTCGGGGTGGGGTATGGCCGAGATGCCAGATGTGAGTGGAGCTTCCCTTGATCTCCCGAGAGACCCTGACCTGCCTCTGTTTCTGTCCCCCAGGTGCCTTGCCGCCTGCCCTGCTCAGCCACTGGCGCGCCACGGCTTCCTCTGCTGAGCCCCTCCTGGAAACGGCAGCCGCAGCCGCCAGCACACAAGGAGAGCCACCGTCGCCCTCGGGAGGGCAGAGCCCACAGCCTCCTCTCTTATTTGTCCTCAGTTTTGCGTCCCCAGCCCCACCAAGAAAGTCAAGCCATCGCCCCGGAGCAGGAGGCATGGCAAGCAAACGAAAATCCACGACCCCCTGCATGGTGCGCACGTCCCAGGTGGTGGAGCAAGACGTGGTAGCCGAGGAGGGGGACCGGACCAAAGACCGGGGGACGGGTGTGCAGCAGCAGCAGCCGCTGCCCACCCTGGCCAAGGACAGCTGGGCCGCAGAGTCCGACAGCGCTTCCAAAGAAAACGACGTGATCGAGGTGAAATCCACCGGGGACCCCCCGTCCAAAAAGCTACAAGGGGGGTACGAGTGCAAGTACTGCCCCTACTCCACGCAGAACCTGAACGAGTTCACGGAGCACGTGGACACGCAGCACCCCAACGTCATCCTCAACCCCCTGTACGTGTGCGCCGAGTGCAACTTCACCACCAAAAAGTACGACTCTCTGTCCAACCACAACGCCAAGTTCCACCCAGGAGAGACCAACTTCAAGCTGAAGCTCATCAAACACAACAACCAGACGGTCCTGGAGCAATCCATCGAAGTCACCAACCACGTCATCACCATCCCCCATGGCGGCCCCGCCTGCGCGGACAGCGACCCTGGGATCTCCGTGAGCAAGACCCCCATCATGAGGCCCGGGAAACCGAAAGCCGACGCCAAGAAGGTGCCCAAGAAGGCCGAGGAGGCCACCACTGCCACGGAGAACCACATGGACGGGACCGCCCGCCTAGTGGCCGACGCGGCTGAGATCCTCTCGAGACTCGGGGGCATGGAGCTCCTCCAGGACTCCCTGGGGCACGTCACGCCTTCTGTACAGCTCCCACCAAATATCAACCTTGTGCCCAAGGTCCCCGTCCCGCTGAACACTACCAAATACAACTCGGCCCTGGACACCAACGCCACCATGATCAACTCCTTCAACAAGTTCCCTTACCCGACGCAGGCAGAGCTGTCCTGGCTGACGGCCGCCTCCAAACACCCCGAGGAGCACATCCGCATCTGGTTCGCCACCCAGCGCCTGAAGCACGGCATCAGCTGGTCCCCCGAAGAGGTGGAGGAGGCCCGGAAGAAGATGTTCAACGGTACCATCCAGCCGGTGCCCCCGACCATCACTGTGCTGCCCGCCCAGCTGGCCCCCACCAAGATGTCCCAGCCCATCCTCCAGACGGCCCTGCCCTGCCAGATCCTCGGCCAGACCAGCCTGGTGCTGACCCAGGTCACCAGTGGGCCGACCACCGTCTCCTGTTCCCCCATCACGCTCGCCATGGCCGGAGTGACCAACCACGGCCAGAAGAGACCGCTGGTGACTCCCCATGCCGCCCCAGAGCCCAAGCGTCCGCACATCGCCCAGGTGCCAGAACCCCCACCCAAGGTGGTCAACCCGCCACTGGCCCCCGCGGCCAGTGACCGCAAGAAGACTAAGGAACAGATAGCGCACCTTAAGGCCAGCTTCCTGCAGGGCCAGTTCCCTGACGACGCGGAGGTCTACCGCCTCATCGAGGTGACCGGCCTCTCCCGGAGCGAGATCAAGAAGTGGTTCAGCGACCACCGCTACCGGTGTCAGAGGGGCATCGTGCACATCACCAGCGAGTCCATTGCCAAAGACCAGGTAGCCCTGGCAGGCACCCGACACGGCCGCACTTACCACACATACCCAGACTTTGCCCCACAGAAGTTCAAAGAGAAGGCCCCGGGCCAGGTCAAAGTTCTGGAAGAGAGCTTTCTGAGAAGCTCTTTTCCAACCCAAGCCGAACTGGACCGGCTCAGGGTGGAGACCAAGCTGAGCCGGCGAGAGATCGACACGTGGTTCTCGGAGAGGCGGAAGCTGCGGGACAGCATGGAGCAAGCCGTTTTGGATTCCATGGGGTCTGGCAAAAAGGCCCACGACGCCGCCGTGGCCCCCAATGGGGCACTCTCACGACTCGAGCAGCTCTCCGGGGCCCAGCTTGCCTGCTCCCTGCCCAGTCCTTCACCCACGACCGCGAAAAGCCCTGGGCAGGTCCACCTCCTGAGGGGCACGTTTGCCAGGACCCAGTGGCCCACGCCCCAGGAGTACGACCAGCTAGCCGCCAAGACAGGCCTGGTGCGGACTGAGATCGTGCGCTGGTTCAAGGAGAACCGAGGCCTGCTGAAGGCCGGGAGCCTGACGTGGATGGAGCCACACCAGCACCAGCGCCTTGCGGACGATCCTGGCTACGACGCCGGCTGGAGGAGAGCCGCCAAGCCCACCGCAGGGAGCCCAAAGCCCGGGAGCGAGGTGGCCCCACCGAGCCACCAGGACACCAGAAAGCTCTGTGAAGAGGACTTGGAGACCCCGGGGTCCAGGGTGAAAGTGGGTAGCAACGAGCCAGAGAAAGACCGTCTTCCTGCCAAGGCCTCCGAGCCCACGTCGGACAAATCTGAGGCCAACAGCCGGGATGGCCCGGGCAGCGAGGAGAAGGAAGAGTCGGGCGTGGTGGACTGGGTAGAGGTGACGGTGGGCGAGGAGGACACTGTTTCAGACCGGTCGGATAGCTGGAGTCAGACTGTACCCGGAGGCCCGGCCGAGCCGGCCGACTCGGACTCCGACAATCCCCCTGCCGAGGCCAGCCAGGCCTAGACAGGTAACTCACCTGGGTGCCCCGGCCAGCAGGGAGCGGGCCGGGCTCCTGGCTCTGAATGCCCTGAGGTTCTCTGAGGCTGCCTCAGGCTACCAGAGCTGTCCCAGAGGGACGCCCAGGCCACCCCCTTGTGGAAGCAAAGCGCCAGGCCTGCGTGGGTTTGAACCACCAGCCTGTCAGCGAGGGAGTCAAGCACCTGACCGATTGCACCTCCCAGGAATTCCTGAGCTTGTTTCTTTTCATGTCAGATCATAGGGTACAGAGACGTTAGCACTGGGGGTGGCTTGCGGTTGTTATTTAATATGTCAATCTTCCTGTTAGCCGGGAGGAGCCCAGGTGGTGTAGTGGTCATGCACTGGGCTGCAATCTGCAAGGTCGTTGATTCGAAATCAGCAGCTGCTCCGAGGGAGAAAGATGAGGTTTTCTGCTCCCGTAAACCATTACGGTCTCGGTACCCACAGGAACAGTTGTCCCCTATTCTGTAGGGCCACCCTAAGTCAGAACTGACGTGCTAGCCATGAGGTGTTGAGTCTGTTTGAATGGTGCTGTGAGGTAGCGTTTGGCTGCTGACTGGCAGCGTTGGCAGTTTGGACCCATCTTCTGCTCTTCAGGAGAGAGGTGAGGCATTAAACCCACAGGGGCAGTTCGACACTGGCCCGTAAGGTCGCTGCGATTCGGAATTGACAGCAATGGGTTTGTGGATCTGTTTTTTTTAGTGTATCATTTGGGGTGGAAGTTGACAGTGCAAATTTGTTTTCCCCTCACACTTGAGACACCTTTTGGGTTTTTTGGTTTGTTTTTGTCTTTTAATCATTTTATTGAGCGCTCTTACAGCTCTTATCACAATCCATCCATCCATCGTTTCAAGCACAGATGTGCATATGCTGCCATCGTCCTTTTCAAAATATTTTCTTTCTACTTG